GAATGGGGGAATCCTTTTTTTGTTCTCAGCTGAACCTCAGTACCTAGAATAACAGCTAGCACATAATATTTGCTCAAATCATATTGAATGAATAGTATTTAGACCAGGGATCTAGCAATGCTTGTCCTACCAACTCTACTTCCTCCCATGAAGCTGTTGATGAGGCTATACCAACAAGGAGCAACGTGCTAGACTAAGTACCTTCCATGGATAATATCATTTAATGTACAATTTTATGAGGTAGAAAGTTTTGTTTTCCCTATTTTTCAATGAGAAAAACCAAAACTTTGATAGACTAAATAACTTGCCCAAGGTCACATGACATGTAAATGGCAGAAGCAAGCTACAAACCCAAGTGATCTGACCCCATTATGCTACACAAACCTGGGCATATGACCTTTTAACACTCCAGTAAACACTGTTCTCACTGGTGAGCATGACCCCATCACTGTCCTAAATTCTAACCAATCAGGTTACTCTCCTTTCCCCTTGGGGAAGAGGTGGGGAGAGGCGCAGGCAGGGAGAAGAAAGCGTTTTCTCCTATGTGGGCAGCAGAAGGGTTGCTGCATGTAGGGGACATGGAGGTGAGAGGGAATGGAGAATGTTTCGTAGAGGTGGTGGCATTTAGGTAGATTCTCTAAGGATGAGCAGGTGTCTGCTGGGAAAGGGCACTGGAGGTAGGAAAAGTAGCATATGCACTGGCATAGCTCTGCGTAGGACTTTAGTGTTGATTCTGATCTAGCTGGAATAGAGGTCTGTGAAGAGGAAAATGAGAGGTTAGATTAGAAAGGCCAGCTGGAGTTGGACTAGGAAAGGCCTTATAAGCCACAAGGAGTTTGGACTGCTTGGGATGGTTCCACTAAAGTTGACATTGCCTCTTTGGATGGCTGGTAATGCAGGCAAGGTGGGAACTACAAGAACTATTGGTCTCTCTCATAGACATGGCCTCCGCCATTAAGTCCTAGCCCCAGAAGCCCTGTTGCAAATGCTGAGATGTGGAAGCATAGACTGTGATTGCTTTTGGCCTTAAATCCTCACCTAATTCTAGGTGAACTACATCTGAAACCAGACATTTTTTTGTGAAGGGCAACATAGTAATGTCATATAGTCTCATATTCTCCAACCAGAATTATATGCCCAAATGACCTGTTCCCTAAGTCTGAAATTCTACCATTCGAGTGCCTTTTATTTTTAGGAACATATTCTGGTTAAATGCAGATAGGTCTAGAACAGTGGTTCTCAATCTTTGCTTGCACATCGGCATGATCTGGGGAGTATTACAAAGTAGTGATGCCTGGGTACCACTGCCACAGTCTGATTCAACTAGTCTGAGGTATAACCTCGGCACCAGAACTTTTTGAAGTTCCCCAGTTAATTCTAAGGTGTAGCCAAGGGTGAGAAGCACAGCCCTTGAAGGGGGAGCATGTTCTGCCACGAGGGTGGTCAAGGACACAGAAGGATGAAGAGCACTGATGGTAGCTTAAAAATGGCCAAACAGCTTCACAGTTTCGCTTAGAGCTGCCCCTGGCTGTGGTGATTCGGTAGAAGTCTTGTCAACACGTTTTCTGAGATCAGATAAAGCACCGTCATCTTCATAACTGTTAGCCAAAAAGCTGGAAGAAATTAAAGGGAACAATGCTTGTGGAGAGAAACACAGCGCTCTGGAAACAACTGTTCCCACCTTTAGTTCAATCTCTTAAAATGCAACCACTGAAAGGCTCCATTCTTCATTTTCATTTGTGTCACCTCTTGGGAGGTGAGCAGAGGAGAAGGTTGGCTGGAGCAGTGAGTTAAGATGACATATTAATAATCATTTACAAGTCATAACATGTCTTCAGTCACATTAGCACTTTGATGCTCACAATAACCATTAAGACAAATACCGTTTTTGCCATTTTACCAATGAGGATACTGAGGTGTGAAGAGCTTAAGTTATACATCCAAAGTCACACAGCTACCAAGTGTGCAACCTCAAGCTAAGCCAACATCTCTAGCTATCAGCACCATTGTAATGCCCAGGGTTCAAAGAGGGAAGACTGACTCCCATTACTCGTGACTGGGTATTCCAACTTCCACTTCCATGGATTCCCATCAATGATTCACACTTGTTCAACGAATACTCATTCTTTGCCCAGACAGGGGGTGGAGAAGGTAAAGAGCATCTCGAGTTTTGATGTGTCACCTTCCTCTGAAATATTTTCCTGACATTCCCTGGTCCTTCCCCCAGTGTTCCCATCTCAGTCACCAGCACCACTGTCCCCCCAAGAATCATCTCGGACAGATACCTCCTTTTATACCTTAGCCTCCTACATCCAATCACTTCATCACCATCACGTTGTCTTTTTTGCCTTCTAACTTTTCCTCAGCTATGTCTACCTCTCTCCATCTCCCGTACTGACACTATGCGTGCTGAAGTGATCATCATGTCACATCTAAATTGCAACAGTCATCTGCTAAGTGGTCCTCCTCAAGAGAGGGGAGAGTCTCCTCTCTCTGCTGCATATTTGTTATAGCCATAGTTTAACAGACCCTCAATTAACCTACAGAGAGACTTAGAGAGTCTTGGGGACCTCAGGTTTCTACCTCTCCATAAGCATTTTGCCTACACAGTTCCCCTCCATTCCTCCTGGTCACTCAGAAGAGTACTAGATCTGAAACCAAAATAACTGAGCTATGTCTTTGGTCTTGTGACTTAACTGCACTTTCATTGGTTTGGTCTCATGAGGAAGACGGCATCCCCATCTATCCTTATAAAAGTTCACTGCATGTTTAGACCATCCAACAATGGGCAAATGCGTCTTCAGGGACTGCTGCCCTTCTCTCATTCTTGGCTGTTTTTTTCAGTCACGCTGGGTGGCATCTACACATACACCCACACCTGCACACACCCACACTCATGATCCTTGTCTCCCAATGCTTCTGATTGATTGCTCTACATATTTGTCTTATTGTGGTAAAATATATATATAATTTATCATTTTAACTACTTTAAGTGTACAGTTCAGTGGCATTAAGTATAGTCAGCTTATTGCACAACCATCACCACTTTCCATCTCTGGAACTTGCTCTGGTCTATATTTTACAATTAGTTTGGCCACAGTCAACAGCAGTGGCCTTTATCACACAGAAGAACACATTTTATCAGCATCCCTCCAGAGGCTTAGAATTGAGTGCATATTTGGATTTCTGGGAGGCTGCCACAAATTTGTGACTATGGGAGAAGAGAATTTTGCAAAAAATCTTAGAATTCTTGAGAGAAAGCAAACATAGGAAGCAATAGCTGGTAGTTAGCTTAAAAGATTTTGGAAGTGGGGCTGGCCCCATGGCCGAGTGGTTAAGTTCGCGCACTCTGCTGCAGGCGGCTCACTGTTTCATTGGTTCGAATCCTGGGCGCGGACATGGCACCCCTCATCAAACCACGCTGAGGCAGCGTCCCACATGCCACAATTAGAAGGACCCACAACTAAGAATATACAACTATGTACCAGGGGGCTTTGGGGAGAAAAAGGAAAAAAATAAAAAATCTTAAAAGAAAAAAGATTTCGGAAGTGAAAGCCCATAATTTTCAGTGAATTTGTTAACTTTGCAAATGATCAAGAGATGGACAGGGCAAAATGGTTTAGATGGAAGAGAAAGGTAAAGAACCATAGAAGAGGTCTATTGTGATAGGTGATTGGGTAGCATTATCAAATTTTGTACACTCGGTGTAAGACAAAGTATATTTGCCCTGAAAAGAAAGTTAGGCTGTATCTCAAGTATGAGAACTGCAAAAAATTGTAAATGACCAGACAATTGGAGTTGAACTCAAGCACCTCCTGCTCTGGGCCCTGTTCCAACAAGCTAGCTGTTGTTGCTCTGATTTGCAGTGTGGCCTCATGTGCAACCATGCTGACAGTCCGCATAGAGAATGATGCCATCTGTCACTTCTTAAGGGCAATCATTAAGTCTTTGAAGCTCAGGTGAAGGTCACAAAGTATATTTCTTTTCTAATAAATGTGATTTTGCAGCAGTTATACTCTTTGATGGCAAAAGCAATGTCATTGAAATTTATCAAAGTTGCAAAACCATTACCCATGTGGAATGACTGAATAATCACACTCCTGAAAATCATGATTTCCTTCTCAATCACTTTTTTTCAGATGAACTCACTCTACCGAAGCTCTAGGAACAGGAGGCCCAGCTGTCACCAACATGTTAGAACAGCAGTTGGCGCGGTCCCTGGAGTTTTAGCTTGGGAGTGGCAGATTATCTCTGAGTGATAGATATGGTGGCTGCACAAGTTGTCATTCAAACTTGTGGGGCACTTTGGAGAGTGAAAGAGGGCACTGCTAATAATTATATGGGAATAACAGTCATGCGCTGGGACTGTCTCGGGTAAACCACGATGTCTGAGCCTTCAGGGAAGCATTTGGTGATGGGTTCAACTAGAGGTCATATCTATTTAATGACATGTGCAGTCACTACTGTGCGGACTGTCAATTAGGCATCAAGGTAGGAAATCCATGTACACATTTGTCATCAGTATCACTCCTAAGCCCTCCCACCCAGGAGGAACGCTCCATCAGCATGCTGAACTGATGGATTCTCTGCAGCCAAGGAGGGTGGATCTGAGGATCCAGGTCTGCAGGGGTTAGATCTGAGAGCGCCCAAAATAAGTGATGGCTATTAAACAGAATCCCAGCATCCAGCCTCACAGCAGGGTAATTCTGGTCCACGTCTCAGTGGTATTATAAATTGCTATATGTCACGGACTTTCAGTGACCCTTCCCCACAACCAAACCCAAGAACTATAATCTTCCAATGCTAAAGCTCAACTGAGTCTGCCAAACACAGTTTGGTAATTTCAGCTGTTCAAAACCAGAGACTCATATCTGAAATGTAACATGTGGCAGCAGAAAATCATTTCATACTGCCAGCATTGATTGAGAGTCTGCTAGTGGTAGTACACAGTGTGGTAGTTTGAAGTCAAACTGCTGGGGTTCAAATCCTGGCTCTGCCATTTACTAGCTATGTGTCCTTGGGTAAGCTACTTAACTTCTCTGTGCCTCAGTTTCCCTCATCTGTACCATAGGGTTAATATCTGTGGGAGAGAATGTACCTAAAGCACTTAGAACAGTTTGAGGCCCATGGTGGATATTTGATGGAGGTCAATGCTCATGTTGAAGGTGCTGAACTGGGTGCGGAGGTACAGAGAAAGAGAATACGTGGTTCTCCGCCTCACCCAAGTCCAGGACAGGTCCCCAGTGGAGCTTGGTGTCTCACCTTCCTCCCAGAGTCCCACTTTGGTCCCCAGATTCAATGATAGCAAACACCGAGCTTTGTACCCTCATTCGCCACCCATGTTCCCCAGCCTTTCCCACATCTCCTTTATTTTCATTAATGGAGTTTATTTATAGAATTTTAGATTGACAGAAAAAATTGAGCAGATAGTACAGAGAATTGCCAGCTGGCACACAGTTTCCCTATTATTAATGTTTTACATTAGTGTGGTACATTTGTTATAATTAATGAGCCAATATTGATACATTATTATTGACTAAAGTCCATAGTTTCCTTAGTTTTTACCTAATGTACTTTTTCCATCTCAGGATACCACATTACCTTTAGTCAGCGTGTCATCCAGGCTCCTCTTGGCTGAGACAGGTTTTCAGACTTTCCCTGTTTTTGATGATCTTGACCATTTTGAAGAACACTGGTTAGCCATATCATGAAATGGCCCACTGCTGGGATTTGTCTGATGTTTTTCTTGTGATTAGACCGGGGTTACGGGTTTGGGGGAGGAAGATCACAGAGATAAAATGCCATTTTCATCACATCATGTCAGAGGTATATACTATTGACATGATTTATGACTGCTTCTGTTGACCTTGGTCACCTGGCTTGAAGTAGAGTTGATCAGTTTTCTCCACTATGAAGTTACTCTTTTGTCTCCTCTTTTCTTCCTACTGTACTCTGGAAGGAAGTCACCACGTCCAGCCCACACTTAAGGAATAGGGCTCCTCCCCTGTTTTAAAAGGCACAAGAGGCATTACCTTGTCCTGTATTTATATACATCTATTAAATGTTGGAGATTTTGTGACTGTGCGTAGCAGCTGGCAAAGCAGGAAGTTACGTCAGTGGAAGGCTGAGCTCACAGCCTGAGGATAGATGCCCAAATGGGGATGGACTGGTTTTCTCCCAAAGCGGTCAAAGCAGTCAAATGAGGTCAAACAACAGATGAGAGGAACATAGAGAAGTGGGTGGTGTCTGTGCGGGCAACTGACAGATGGCCTTTCAATGAATAGAATATTAATCTTCTATATGATCTAAAATATCTTCTTAAACTAAGGCCAGTGGCAATTCTTTGAGTTCCAATGTAATTGTCATGCATTCACTATTAAAGGGGATTTTTTTTTTTAAAGCTGTCAGTTTGATTGAGGAGGATTAGAAAAGAAGAAGCAAGAATATTTTTAGACATTTTTAAAGAACTCATTTAGCTGCTTCCTAATTAATCAGTCTGTTTTCTGAGAGCAAACTGCTGTATAATTACTAGGGGAAAATTATTCTTAAAGAGGGATCCTGAACTGTCTATAGGAAAATGAATTCCGTGCTGGTACTCAGAAAGACTTAACCTGCTTAACACGGACGAAGCACTTTATTAACAGAGTGACTTCCCATCATCTGGTTATTAAGGGTTAATTGCATTTTAGAGCCACTTCTCTGTAGGGAGTGCTGATGAGGGAAGAGGAAAAACAATCAGGCTGACAGGCACTGAATCCAAAATCCTGAAACTTCTCCCAGACGAGTCCTTCTCACTACATTAATACTTCTCTCCACATTGGGAGCACTGCACTGGGAGTCCCAGATAGTTTTCATAGTAGGTTTCAAGGTAAAATCTCCCATACAATAAATGCCAAGTTCTATTTAAGAAGCAAGCAAGTCAGCATCTGGAAGCCAGTTTGCAGGCAGATCTTTAACTTCCAGGAATTCTGTTGGGGATTTAATGTTTCCGTAGCAACATTTTGTTGTGGCGTAAACTAAGTTTGAAGAATGCTGCAGGGTTTGCTTCTGTAATGTTGTGTCTCATGTCTGTACCATACGTTAGAGAGAGTCTCGAGATTTTATAGAGTGTATATATGCCTGTTTTAATTGTACTTTCTAACATTTTTCTCATGGAAACTCATGTATCAACAGAAATTCAAATCTTTCAAATGATTTTGGGAGGAAAAACTGTAAAGAAATGACCGTCCCCTGTTCAAAGCTGAAAATTTCTATGCAAGGTATTTTATTTCTTCAATAGTAATACGCTTCCATCATAGGAAAATTGACTAAGTTTGAAAGAAAAATGAGGACCTCATTAAAACTATTAGTAAGGCTGGAAACAAGGCAGCAATTTCTAACCCAATGGTGCTCAGGGAATGGCATGAATGTTCTTGATTATCCAGTCTTTGATGAAGGATGTAGGTCTTTTTACACCATTTTAATGGCTAAAATTGGTTTGCTTCAAAAGAAAAAGATTTCAGATATGAAAAAAAAAATTTTTCCCATCTACATCCTTCTGAGACCTTTTTTTGGTACCCTTGACTAAGTTGCCTGCAGCTTCATTTTTATAGAAAATTAGTTTTCAGCAGGTGGAACTGAAAATCACTGGAAGAGAAAAACAATTTCCAGCGGAGTTAGAATTGTACACATTCTATGTTTTTACTATTTATATATACATCTTCCACTTCTTATGACCTAATGTCGTAATCTTTCCATTGTGATGTCACAATCGCTGCGCAATAGCTAACAAAATGTTTAAATCCTAGTGATTCAGAAGTAAAAAAGTTGGACGATTGCCCTGTGGACTCTCATTTATTAAAGGAAGGATGAAAGAAACATAAGATACAAAATTTCATGCAGATTTTCCCTCCTTAGAAATATGTTGAAATGAACCTGCTCCTAAGGTGAATATTTAAAAATTTTTCTTTGATATATTAGAAGAGGTTTAACCATCATTACTAATTAAGTTACAAGCTATTCATTAGGCAAAGTGAAATGTCCAAAGGTCAGGATGACTGTGTTCAAAGCCTTATTCACAACTAAATAATGAAATTTGACAAGAATTCTCAATTGGGGATCAGGAAGGTTAGAGGAAGCATGCTAGATAGGTTTAAACACTGCGAATGTGATTTCTTTTTAAGTATCATACTTCAAAGCCAATCTAAGACAGTCTTTGTGTGGTCCCTGATGCTTCCATTTACAAAAGGAACACAGTTTACACGTGCCTTCATCTTTGGAACATTCTAGGGTGATTCCATCCAATGCCCGAGAACATATTGCGGTGTGATTTTGGGCAAATAGCAGGTGCCAAGAAATGCCCCTTAGTAGTGTCTAAATATCTAAAATTCTACTCTTAGAGTCTATGGGAAGACTGCAATGGTATAGAAAAGATAGTACAAGCTCCGGAAACAAGACTCAATTCCTCATCCAGGACCCAACATTTACCAGCTGCAGGCCTTAGGCAACCTTAAGCTCATCTATAAATTAGAGTTAATGATATCTGTGGAATCACCATCTTGGGCCCACTTTCCAGTCACTCCCACTCCCCCTCTCCTTTATTGCTGTTCACCATAGAGGCTGGAAACCCCTGAGTTCTTGCTCTCTCATCTCCCTTGCAGATGGGTATCCAGGTGACTCAGTTCTGGCTAATGAGATGGAACCTGTTCGGGGCTTCTGGGACAACTTTTGCTCCCTTGTAAAGGGGCCAGGCCAGAAAGGAGAACTCACTGGTATCACTTCTTTTCTCTGTGAAATCTGTGGCTTCATCGGCCATCTTGCATTTATGAGGAAGCAAGAACAAGAATGAAAAGCCAATGTGCTAGGTACAGCAGAGTGGAAAATAGAAAGAGCCTGGGAGTCTTTGACGGCCATCGAGCTGGAAACACCAACTGCTAGACTTATTGCAATGTGAGAGAATTAACTGTCTTTGTCATTTAAGCTGCCGTCAGTGAAATATTCTGATTCTTACAGCCGAGAGCACTCCTCATTGCCCATCTCACAAGCATGTTATAATGATTGAAAGAGATGATAAAACCCAAGCACGGGACTTGGTTCACAGTAGGCAAAGAATAAACCTTAGTCCTTTTCTCTACCTAGTGCCCTCCATATCTCCTTAAATACAAAGGCACATTAATAGAATAACCCATTAAATGGTTCATACTGCATTTTTAATGTTGTTAGTTGCTTTTCTCTTTCAGAGGGGATCCAAAGGGACTTAGAGGCTATGTTGAGTTTGTGTGGAAATAGGGAGCACTAAAGAGTTAAGTGAAGACACCATACAGAGGGATTTGCATTTTATAAATCAATCTAGAGATTTTGTGGGACATGTGTGGGTTGGGATGGGGCCAGCAGCAGGGAGAAAGAAGAAAAGTCGTGCACCTTAGTAATAACCTGCTGTAGATGATGAGGGTTAAAACTGGGCAGCAACAGCAGAGATGGAGAAGATGGGATGAAGGTCAACTTTATTTAGAAGGTAAAATAATCAGGATTTGGGATTTGATTGGACGTGAGTGTGAGCAGGCAGGGTTCAAGGATAAATCCTAAGTTTCTAGCTTGAGCAACTACATGGATGGTGGTACAAATAATTGAGAAAAAATATAGCTACTGTTGATTTAGAGAGATGTTAACAAGTTCAAGCATATGGAGCTGGTTATGTCCATGAGGCAAGTTGGATTATCAGAGCCTGCAGCTTCTGGGGAATTTGGAAGCCATCCGTTTCAAAGTGGTAGCTTAGATCACGGCAGTAGATGAGATGAACCATAAAGAGGATATACAGTTTAATTTTAGTGTGTGCCTGAAGATAAAAAGTGTGAGACAGGGATAAAATTGATATAATAAACTACCAGGAAGGTAATGAAAATGAGTCTACTTTATAACGTAAGAAATGAGAGACTGCTAAAGAAAAATTTATAGTTGCAATAGTCTCTGTTATTTAAGAAGTAAAACACTTGCAAAAAAATAGTGCTTTTCTTAAGAAATGAGAAAATAAACCAAAAATGAATAAAGAGAAAAGCTGAAATCACTAAACCAGAAAATGAAATAGTAAAAAGAGAACTAAATTAGAAAGCTACTTTTGATCAATAAAATAGATTCATAACTCACAGGTGTGATTATGAAAAAAAGGGTGTAAAAATTCACAAGTTTGGAATGAATAAATACTTACTTGCAGATACAAAATAAACAAATTAGATTGCAATAAAATGTACATGAAACTCTTTAGCAACATATATGAAAACCTACAATAAGCCAAGGATTTTCTTATAAATTTTAAGTTCCCAAAAGTAACCCAAGAAAGAGTAGAAAAGTTTAACAGATCAATTTTCACAGAAATGTTTGGATAGACGGTTAATACATAATTATTTTAAAAGTCACCAGGATCAGATAATTTCAGACCTGATTTCTAGCTAGCTTTAAAGAATAGATAATTGCAATAAATTATTGTAATCCATAAAAATAAAGGTTAAAAACTTCCCAATTCACATTATGAAGCCAGTATAATTGAATACCTGAAAATGAACCAGTAAAGAATATTAGCAAATAATCACATTGATGAATATAGATGCAAACATTCAACATTTTATTAAATATAATTCATTGGATTATCAAGAGAATAGTTAAGTACAGTCTATTCTAGAAACTTAAGGATAGTTAAATAAAGGAAAATTTATAAATATTACATCAACAAATTCAAGAAGAAAAACCATTCCATCATATCAATAAATGCTGTAAAGGCTTTGGATAAATTCAGCAACTATTTTTCAAAAAACACACACATCGAGTAAGATAGGAATAGAAGGAAACTACTCAGATTATGATAAAGATTATGCATGAAAAGTCAGCAGCAAATATAATTCTAAATGGTGAAATGCTATGGTGGATTGTATTCTTGTTCTTAATTATTTCTTGCCTCCTCTTCAAGAGGATTAGTCCCCCTCCTCATAGACATTATGACATCGTGGGGCCATGGTTTGGCCATTTGATTTGCTTTGACCAATGAATATGAGAGAAAGCGATGCATGTCACTTTGGAGCTGTTGCTTTAAGAGCTATTGTATAAATTGGCCATTGCTATTTTCCTGTTGCAAGAAAGGCAAATGTCAGTGAAAAGCTAGATCTTTAGCCTGGATCCCAGAATGAGAAGACACAAGAACAGAGCCACAGCTGACCCACAGTCAATCTGTTAGGTAAATAAAAAATGAAACTTTGCTGTTATAAACCATGGAGATTTTTGGGTTGTTATCACAATGTAACATAGAAAAAGTTAAATAATACAAAAGTTACCACCAGGAGTACAGTGATGCCAGAAACAAAAATCAACTAACAAAGAAAACTTAAAATCTACAGCATTGGCTCTCAAGGCCAGGCAGTTATGGCGAGGAAACTGTCATTAGTGGCTGAAAAGGTGGTGGTCCATGTTATGTAGTGGTGAAACATCCTCAGAATTGTTGCCAGCGGTTTCTCTGAAGGCAGAGAATGTACCAAATGAGCTTATGGATTTATATGAAGAGGTTGGGAAACAAAATGCTGCCAGTATGTGTTGGTTGCTATTGTCTGGATTTGACAAATTATTATTCTAAGACGCAGATAAACTCAGGAATGAATTGGCTGGTTTGCAAGCATGATTGGAAAATGAAACTACTTATCTCCAACAGTATAAAATCAAAACAAGAAACCCTTTGATCAACAAGGACCAATCAAGACAGCTTTGTGATGAGAACCAAATCAAGACTATAGCCATCAAATCTTCTGCGAAAACTTCTGAATTAATTAAGGTGTCACTTAGCTGGAAAAGATGGCCAAGGGAAAAATGACTATTTCATGTTCTTCCTATGGAAGTTCATAAGCTCAAATTACTCTGAATGAAGTCAAGAGAAAATTGGGCAGCATTTTTTTGAAAGATGTATTGCCAAAAGAGCCACTAACTTAGAGTGGCAGTGACTATTCAGGACTTCAAACAATGTTTGGACTCCCAAATGTCTATGGACAGAGTGAGATGAAAGAAATGGTGCTAAGCCCCAAGGGTGGACTTACTCTTCAACGCCTTTTAAAAATGACCAAGACGGATAATGGAAACTGAAAGACCTGTGAGAGGATAGAGCCTCAGAAATGGAAAACAATGGCCTGGAAAGCTACTTTAGGGAGCAGAGATGTGGAGTAATCAAGAAATTCCCCTTTCCCTAGGATTTGAAGTCTCAGCAGCATTTCCTCTGAGGAGTTTCAGAATTGCTGACAGATTGGTGGCTGCCGTATACCTTCCGTTCTTCCCCGCTTTCAACGGGAGTGTGCATAGAGATTGTCCTATCTCTGTTTTCTACCATTGTCCCCTGGGAGTATAGAAGGTAGATTCTTTTTCATAGTTTGGAGACTTCAAGATCAAGAGGAGCCACATCCAAATACAATGGAGGGACTATTATAAAATCTTGAACAGTACTGTCACTCACAGTTGGATAAGACTTTTTAGGAGTCTTTCTTGGGGAAGGGGTATGTTTATTTTATGAATGAAAGGAAGGAAAGGAAATACTTTTGACCCAGGGGCAAATGTGATAGATTGTGTTATTGTTTCCAATTATTTGTGGCCTCCTCTTTTTGGCATATTCTTTTCTGCAATATTGGCATTAGGCTTGGCCTTGTGACTTGCCGTGGGCCATGAATGTGAGTAGCAGCAATGTATGTCACTTCTGAGCAGAAGCATGAAGAACCATCTCACGGTCTGGCCATTGCTCTTTTCCTTCTATCACAGAACGGCAGATGCCAGATAGATACTCAATCTTTAGATCCAGAATGAAAGACTCATGAAATAGAATCACAACGTATTAGCGGCCAGCGTGTAACGTGAGCTAAAAATCAACTTGTGTTGCTGCAAGGCCCTGATAATTTAGAGTGGTTTTGTCGTTGCAGTTTAAGCT